GAAAAAGTGTAAAATATATATAAAAAAACGGAGAAAAAGCACAAAAATATAATGTGAATTTTATATAAAAATATATATCGAATTTGTTGAATCGACTCCCAAGAGGGTGTTTCTCTCGATCACTACAATCTTACCCTTTTCAAGGGCAAGGTCAACCGTTATCTTTCCCCGATATCCCCATAAACTGCGGCTCTTACTCAGTTACACTCTACATCGAGTGGCTCTTGGGCCTTTTACAGGGTGAAAAATATCGTTAAAATAGTTCCATTCGCAGAAATTCTTCCCAAGAACATCTCGGAAGGATGTTTTCCAAATCATTACAAGTCTAGGTTTAACCGTTAGCTTTCCTGTATAACCCTATAAACTTCACGTTTTGCCTTTTCTTGCACTCATATAAGATCACATAGTAACCCTCGACATTGAGTGCCTCTTGGGCCTTGTATTGCGTATATATATATATATATATATATATATATATATATATATATTGTGTATTTAGGCAGCAAATTGTCTTTTAAGCATGTCTGATTGAATAAATTGCAGACATTATGTCTGCTAATTTTTAACAAAATCCGTTCATACTCACGAATAACCTTTCGTGTATTGATGTTAAAGGATGTGAGAAATGCGCTATAGCTGTTTAAATTTCTTTTATTTTCATTTCCCAAGTAGTTTCGATCTTCTTCCAAGATCATCTTCAGGAGTGCAAGTAGTACAAAATTATATGTTGTTCATTAGTACAAGTATTTATACAAAGTTGTGCGTTGTTATCCATTACCGTAATTTTTCATTATGCTATTAAATGCAAAAATGGTTGACTATGTGCTGAGCGTTGATTAGAACGTGAAAAATTATGGATTTTTTTCTTTATGTTATAATGTCAAGGTCATGCACGCATCAAAGCGTGAAAAAACTGTTCCTGTTTATGGGCATTTCTGAACATATCTGTAGTATTCATAGTTAATTTTGTTCAGTGCCATTAATATCAATACGCGGAAGGTTATTCGTGAATACGAACGGATTATGTTAAAAATCATCAGACATAATGTTTGTAAATTACTCAATCTGATATATATATATATATATATATATATATATATATATATATATATATATATATATATATATATATATATATATATATTATGAAATGGACAAAGTTTGACAATTATTTTAAGATATTTTTATGTTTAAACATACTTTTTATCGATAAAATATTTAAGTAAATGCTCTGTTTATAATAAACAGTATTAATAACATTTAGCGGCCTGAATGTCCGAGAAATTTTCATAGAAAATATTCATCCTCCGACAGGAATCGAACCTGTATCCTATACAGAACCGTCATATAGTCTGATGTGCCTTTACCGATTGGAGGATGCATAAACAAAAAATATCTCAAAAAAATAATCGTCTGACTTTGTCCATTTCATAATATATATATATATATATATATATATATATATTAATATTACATCGGAAATATGTCAAAATCGATGTAATATCATAAAACAAATAATATTGCTCTACTTTGTATTGGGCCCTCGTTTAAGTTAAATGTCATGAACGTTGGAATTGTACCCCATTCTCATCTTACCTGGATATATATATATATATATATATATATATATATATATATATATATATATATATATTCCTGGAGATATATAGAGAGAGGGACAGAAAGAAAGGGGCAGAGGGAGACAGCGAGGGACAAAGAGACAGCGAAAAAGAGATAGAGAGAGAGAGAGGAAGAGAGAGATAGAGAATCAGCGATATATATATATATATATATATATAATATATATATATATAGAGAGAGAGAGATACAGGGAGAGAGAGAAAGAGCTGTAGAAAGAGAGAAAGAGAGAGAGAGACACCGAGATAGTGATAGAGAAAGCGTGAGACAGAGTGACCGCGAGAATGAAATGGGGTGAGAGAGACGGGCGGGAGACAGAACGAGACAGAGGGAAAGTGAGAGGTTGAGAGAGACAGAGCGAGATAAAGAGAGAGAGAGAGAGAAAGAGCGCCACAAAGAGACAGCGATAGAGAGATAGAGCGAGAGAGAAACAGAGAGACAGCGAGATTGAGATAGAGAGAGAGAGAAAGAGACAGAGAGAGAGAGAGAAAGAGGGAGACAAAAAGACAAAGAGAGAGAGAGAGACTGCGAGAGACAGAACGAGATAGAGAGACAGTGAGAGAGGGAGAGAGAGAAAGACAAAGAGAAAGAGAGAGGTTACTATATTATTTTCTGAATTCTTTGGTGACCATGAAATTCGACATTCAGAACCACACCTTCTGTCAAGCTTGGTACAAGGTCTTGTATTTATGAGTGATTATACTTTTCTAACCTTACATAAATGAAGGTCGGCGTGCACAACATGACACTCAGTAGTGTATTCCTATTCCTGCCTCCATTGAAACATTGGTTATCGGCAACGAAAGCGAAGATGTTGCCTCAGGTTTTACACTATTTTCATTGTGAATGATGAAATAAGATT